AATTGAGGCCAGATAGTCCAAACCATCTATTGAAAATGAGTTGAAATAGGCTTTATCCCAGCTTTCCAATGCATCCAAAGCCATTTAATGATACATATCTTTCCCAATCCTTTCTATTAGAACAATATTCATCCAAATCAAACAAAACCACATCTATTGTGATGAAGTGGTCATAGAGAAGAAAAGAAAAGTGGAAATGCTTTCAGGTTTTTGCTAAGATTTCCAATTCCAAGTGGAGGCCAGATAGTTAACTCCAACCTTTAAAAATCAGTTCAATTGAGGGTTTTTTCATTCCTGAAAAGCCATTAATATGAATGCTTTCAATAATAGGTTAAATATATTTTGCCCAGTAGGGCCAATCAGACAGTCCTGCCTACTTACATAGCATACACATATAGTATGGCCAACAACACCATCATATAATCTCAATTTTCTTAAACACTACATATGTTGGAATCAAGTATTGTTGTCCTGAGTGTTTGGCCAAAGTCTTCTTTGTCATAATATTTGGTCCAATTTATTGAAGCTAAGTGAATCTGTCCAATCCAAAGTCTTGTCAGAGTCTCCATTATCAAAATATTATACCATGGTATTGTAATCCCTTGTTGCACTCTCATACCATACCATACCATGGTATTGCACTCCCATAACATACCATACCATGGTTTTGCAATCCCATCCCATCCCATCCCATCCCATCCCATACCATACCATACCATGGTATTGCACTCCCATACCATACCATACCATGGTATAGCACCCTCATATGATACCATACCAACACTCCCATACCATACCATACCATGGTATCACACTCCCATACCATACCATACCATGCCATACCATGCACCCTCATACCATACCATGGTATCAGGAACCATAATCTATTTTTATTTAGGCAGAGGAAGGCAGAAAACCCTCATTTCGAAGTTTGTTTACATATATTTAGCAATAGCTTTGACTGAAGTGAGGCTAAAATTTTGTAGTGTCTGCTTTGGTGTGCGCACTATTTCCTAATTGGGCCATTTCCTAATTGGGAAAAGCGTTACACTTTTTTCTGCCACACCTAATGTCAGGCACAGTGTGCAGTTAGGTTGGGAACTGTTTCCCACACTCTTTGGGCCACTGGAGTTAGTGGCTAGCTTAGTGTTGTCATTGTTCATGACGATGTCCGCACTATTTCCTAATTGGGAAAAGTGTTACACTTTTTTCAGACACAGCTGATGTCAGGCACAGTGCGCATTTAGGTTGGGAACTGTTTCCCACGCTTTTTTGGCCAGAAGAGTTAATGGCTAGCATGGTGTTGTCATTGTTAATGATGATGTGCACACTATTTCCCAATTTCGCCATTTCCTAATTGGGAAAAGCGTTACACTTTTTTCTGCCACACCTAATGTCAGGCACAATGCACACTTAGGTTGGGAACTGTTTCCCACACTCTTTGGGCCACTGGAGTTAGTGGCTAGCTTAGTGTTGTCATTGTTTATAACGATGTTCGCATATTTCCTAATTTGGAAAGTCATTACATAATATCAGTTTGGTTTGTACTATCCACTTTTTCACTACAAAAAGTACTAGTGTGCACTTTTCTCATTACTAAACTTTGTAGTGTCCGCTTTTTAGACTACAAATGCATGTAGTGTGCGCTTTTTTGACTACAAATGTTTGTAGTCTTTGTAAAATTACTAGTGTGCGCTTTTTTCATTACTAAAGTTTGTAGTGTCCGCTTTTTGGACTACAAATGTTTGTAGTCTTTGCCTTTGTCATTACAAAGGCTTGTAGTGTGCACTTTTTTCATTACAAATGTTTGTAGTGTCCGCTTTTTTGACTACAAATGTTTGTAGTCTCTACCTTGTTTATTACAAATGTTTGTAGTGTGCGCTTTTTTCATTACAAATTTTTGTAGTGTCCGCTTTTTTGACTACAAATGTTTGTAGTCTCTGCCTTTTTCATTACAAAGGCTTGTAGTGTGCGCTTTTTTCATTACAAAGTTTTGTAATGTCTGCTTTTTTGACTACAAATGTCTGTAGTCTTCGCATTTTACATTACAAGGGCTTGTACTGTGTGCTTTCTTTCATTACAAAGTTTGTAGTGTCCACTTTTTGGACTACAAATGTTACTAGTGTCTGCTTTTTTTAGCCT